CCTTTTTCCCCGTCCCACCTTCTTCCGGAGAACAAAGCTTTCTTTTAATGAGCTTTTTTAATGGCTTTGGCCCCGTTTTCTGCCGGGCTTTGCTCCTTTGCTCCGGGGCAGATCCTTGAACACTGTTCCAACCGACGCTTCCATGGGAGGGACCCGAGGCCCACAGCAAGGGTCTAATTTAAGTTGCTCGCTCGCTTTTGGGTTCTTTTGTTCCTTCTCCCGTCCGAATCCCTTTGTGGCCCAGAAGAATCTTTCAGGCCGGAAGGGGAAGGAAACATGGGAGAAGATACACTGACGTCAAGAGGCCCCAGTTCGGAGACGCTTCCTATCTCCAGCCTAGTCCTGTTTGACCCTCGGATGCGTCCATCCTTTTATCCCAGCTCTGGAGGGAAGAACGCACTCTGCACATGCTCAGGAGCTCATCCCTCTTTGCACCCACCCTTTATCTCAATGCCCTACGTAGAGATACCAAGGTGCTTGTTTATAGAGCTATTGTCCTCCCAACCCTGCTATACGCCTGTGAGACGTGGACTGTCTACAGACATCACATGCAACTCCTGCAACGATTCCATCAGTGCTGCCTCTGCAAAATCCTGCAAATCTCTTGGAAAGACAGGCGGACAAACATCAGCATGCTGGAAGAAGCAAAGACCACCAGCACTGAAGCGATGGTCCTCTGCCATCAACTCTGCTGGACCGGCCAAGTTGTCCGGATGCCCGACCGCCGTCTCCCAAAGCAGTTGCTCTACTCCGAACTCAAGAATGGAAAACAGAATGTTGGAGGACAGGAAAAGAGATTGAAAGATGGGCTCAAAGCCAACCTTAAAAACTGTGGCAGAGACCCTGAGAACTGGGAAGCCCTGGCCCTTGACCGCTCCAGCTGGAGGTCAGCTGTGACCAGCAGTGCTGCAGAATTTGAAGAGGTACGAATGGAGGGAATGAATTTGAAGAGGTACGAATGAAAGGGAGAAGCGTGCCAAGAGGAAGGCGCGTCAAGCCAACCCCAACTGAGACCGCCTTCCACCTGGAAAACAATGCCCTCACTGCGGAAGAAGATGCAGGTCAAGAATAGGGCTCCACAGCCAGATACGGACCCACAAAAATCTTGGAAGACAATCCTCCTTGGATAACGAGGGATCGCCTAAGTAAGTAAAAGTATCTCAATGCACTCTGCACATGCTCAGGATCCCTCCTCCTTTGCATCTATCCTTTATCTCGATGCACTCTTCATATACTCAGGAGCCCCTCCTTCTTTGTCTCAACGCATTCTGCATATGCTCAGGAGCCCCTCCTTTGCATTCATCCTTTGTCTCAACACGCTCTGCACATGCTCAGGAGCCCCCTGCTTTGTATCCATCCTTTATCTCAATGCACTTTGCGCATGCTCAGGAGCCCCCTCTTCCTTTGTATCCATCTTTTATCTCAATGCACTTTGCACATGCTCAGGAGCTCCTCCTCCTTTGCATGCATCCTTTAGCTCGATGCACGGAAGCCCCTCTTTTGCACCCATCCTTTATCTCAACACACTCTGTATCCTCTGTTATCTCAACTCACTCTGCACATGCTCAGTATCCCTCCTCCTTTGTATCCATCCTTTATCTCAATGCACTTTGCACATGCTCAGGAGCCCCTCCTCGTCTGCATCCATTCTTTATCTCAACGCACTCTGCACAAGCTCAGGAGCCCCTCCTCCTTTGCACCCGCCCTTTATCTCAACACACTCTGCACACGCTCAGGAGCCCTCCTCCTTTACCGCCCCTGAATCCCAATGACGACCTCTTTCTCTTCTCCTCCTCCTCCTCCCCTCGGCCCATAATTATGCCCAATAACTGTCAGGCCCCTTCAGCTCTTCAACAAAGCGATGGAAGTGATTTTTCCAACAGATGTTCTTTTTGAAAGAAGAGAAGCCAGTGGCAGGGAGGGAGAGAGAGCAAAGAGGAAAGGCAAGGAAAGGCAAGGCAAGGGGGGACACCCGTCTGTGTCCCTTCATGCGGCTCCCCCTCCATCCATTATTCAGCAAGACCGAGCCAGAGATAATGAGAAGCTCAAGCCGACCTTTAGGTTTCTCTGGGCCTTTTCTACCTTTTGATCCGGAGGCCATCGCCGTTCCCTTTCTGGCTTGTTATGCAAGGCAGCGCTCTTTTTTTTTTACCATTTTAATTTTTTGCAGAGAGGGAATGAAACCAAGCCTTCCCTCTTCTGGACTACAGATCCCATAATCCCCCAGCGAAAAGGGAGTCTTCTCCATCCCGTATGTATCTAACATGCTTTGCGCACAGTGACATTCTCCTGCACCACTCTATAGCGACTTGAATAAGTCTGAAGATGACAATGTGAAACAAACCCCTCTGGCCATTTCCCAAGCCAAGGCAATTAACCAAACCCATTGTTGATGTGTTTGCATGCAGAGAGGGGGGATTTCCTGCCGGCCCAGATAAATTCAAACCTGTTTATTTACCTATATCTGGCATGGGCAAACTTGGACCCTCCTTCCAGGTGTTTTGGACTTCAACTCCCACAGTTCCTAAGAGCTTCAGGCCTCTTTCTTTTCCCCCTCAGCTGCTTAAGCATTATATCTACCTATCTATTGGGACATGAAGGTAGGCCTCTCTTAGGTCTATCACTCCATCATCTAGCTTATCTATCTGTCTATTGGACATGAAGGTAGGCCTCTCTTAGGTCTATCACTCCATCATCTAGCTTATCTATCTATCGAGACATGAAAGTAGGCCTCTTTTAGGTCTATCACTCTATTATCTAGCTTATCTAGCTATCTATTAGCACATGAAGGTAGGCCTCTCTTAGGTCTATCACTTCATCATCTAGCTTATCTATCTATCTATTGAGACATGAAAGTAGGCCTCTCTTAGGTCTATCACTCCATCATCTAGCTTATCTATCTGTCTATTGGACATGAAGGTAGGCCTCTCTTAGGTCTATCACTCCATAATCTAGCTTATCTATCTATCGAGACATGAAAGTAGGCCTATTTTAGGTCTATCACTCTATTATCTAGCTTATCTAGCTATCTATTAGCACATGAAGGTAGGCCTCTCTTAGGTCTATCACTTCATCATCTAGCTTATCTATCTATCTATTGAGACATGAAAGTAGGCCTCTCTTAGGTCTATCATTTCATCATCTAGCTTATCTATCTATCTATTGAGACATGAAAGTAGGCCTCTCTTAGGTTTATCACTCCATCATCTAGCTCAGTGTTTCTCAACCTGGGGGTCGGGACCCCTGGGGGGGTCGCCAGGGGGTGTCAAAGGGGTCACCAAAGACCATCAAAAACAGTATTTTCTGTTGATCATGGGGGTTCTGTGTGGGAAGTTTTTTCAAATTGTATCATTGGAGGGCTTCAGAATGCTCTCGGATTGCAGGTGAACTATAAATTCCAGCAACTCCCAAATGTCAAGGTCTATTTTCCCCAAACTCCAGCAGTGTTCACATTTGGACATATTGAGTATTCATGCCAAGTTTGGTCCAGATACATCATTGTTTGAGTTCACAGTGCTCTCGGATGTTGGTGAACTACAGCTCCCAATCTCAAGGTCAATGCCCACCAAATCCTTCCAGCATTTTCTGTTGGTCATGAGAGTTCTGTGTGCCAAGTCTGGTTCAATTGCATCGTTGGTGGAGTTCAGAATGCTCTTTGAATTTAAACGAACTATAAATCCCAGTAACTACAACTCCCAAATGACAAAATAACCCCCCCCCCACACACACACACACACACATCAGTATTCAAATTTGGGCGTATTGAGTATTTGTGCCAAATTTGGTCCTGTGAATGAAAATACATCCTGCATATCAAATATTTACATTGTGATTCATAACATTAGGAAAATTACAGTTATGGAGCCGCAACAAAAATAATGTTGTGGTTGGGGGTCACCACAACATGAGGAACTGCATTAAGGGGTCGCAGCATTAGGAAGGTTGAGAACCACTGATCTAGCTTATCTATCTATCTATTGAGACATGAAAGTAGGCCTCTTTTAGGTCTATCACTCTATTATCTAGCTTATCTAGCTATCGGGACATGAAGGTAGACCTCTCTTAGGTCTATCACTCTATCACCTAGCCTAAGCGGCTGAGGGGGAAAAGGAAAGGGCCTGAGGCTGTTAGAAATTGTGGGTCCAAAATACCTGGAGGACCCAAATTGACCCATGCTTGTACTATGAGTTTCTCATTCACGTATTGAAGGATGTTGTCCTTGTACTGAAGAATTGTGGGAGTTGAACTCCAAAACACCTGGAGTGCTCAAGTTGGTCCATGCCTGTGCTATAAGTATGTCATCCACATACTGAAGGATGTTGTCCATGTACTAATCCAAAACACCTGGAGGGCCGAAGTTCCCCCATGCCTGCTATAGCAAATTGATAATATGCACAACCACACCACTTCGTAAAGTTTCTGCTCTGCATCCTAACCACTGACACGGTTTGGCTACATCACACATCTTCGAGTGTATCTACACCACAGAATGAATGCAGTATGACCCCAGTTTAACCATAGTGTGTGTCGTTTCACAAGAAAACAAAAGAAAAAGAAAGGGGAAGGAAGAAGAGAAGGAGGAAGAAAATGCGGAAGGGAAGGAAGAGGAGAAGATGATGAAGATGGAGGGAGAAAGAGGAGTTAGAAGAAGTAAGGGAGAAGACAAAGGAGAAAGAAAGAGGAAGAGAAGGAGGAGGAAAATAAGGAAGGGGGTGTAAGAGGAGAAGACAACAAAGAAGGAAAGAGGAAGAAGAGGAGGAATTAGAAGAAGGAAGAAGACAAAGGAGGAAGAAAGAGGAAGGAAGAAAAGAAGGAAGAAGATGAGGAACGGCTGGAAGAGAAGAAGATGACAAAGATGGAGGGAGGAAGAGGTCGAAGCAGTGGAAGAATTAGAAGGGGCGAGAACCCTTTGAGAGCTCCTTCTTCCTTTTGGGAGACATAAGCCTCTGGAGTGACTGCACTGACGGTGAGGGCCAGGCCCAGCCCCCTTGTCTACTCACATGGGTGCAGAACCTCTCCGGGGGATTCCCGCAGGTGATGCCGGGAGGCTGGACACGGACGGTGGCGTAGTCCTTCAGGGGCCCGGCCCGGGGCTGGCAGGCATAGAACTCCCAGGTGGGGCCCTCGTCGGTGGTGACCCAGGACTTGCAGACGTCGTACTGCCCCACCACCAGCGGGAGGCAGTGCAGCAGGAAGGCCGCCTGGTGCAGCATGGCCGGTGGCGCAGGGACAGGTGGCGGAGGCAGCAGCAGGAGCGAGGGCTCTGGGTCCGTGGGGCAGGGCCTCCCTCTCCTGGCTCAGGGTAGGCGCTCCGCATCAGCATGGACGCTCCCTCCGCACCCACGATCCCAACGGGGAAGCCTTCCTTCCAAGGGTTCGGTCGGTTGGTCAGACAACTTGCCGGGCCCAGATCAGGAGTGCACAGCAGCGTCCCTCAACTTCATTTTCCCCTCTTTTGGGTACAATCTTCCAAGTCGGAAAAGGGGAAAGAAAAAAATATCAAGAGGTGACTCTCGGCCGTCAATCGATCGAGGGATCAAGTTCTGATTCTGGGGTGAAATGTGATCCTTGAAGGGAAGGAAACCAGCAGAGATGCTGCACAATCGGCGATCTCCGCAACCTTTGGGGGACCTTCTTAAAGTGCTTCCGAGCAGCAAAATCTCAATAACTTTGTTCACCAAAAATAAAAGCAGTCTATTTGCATTGTATAGAACTCACGAAAAGTGGTATAGTCGCCTTATATGGGACTCACTGAAAAGGAGTATATTCACATTATACGGAACTCACAGAAAAATTAGTATAGTCACTTTACCTGGAACGCAAGAAGAACAGTAGGATATTCGCCTTATATGGAACTCGTATATTTGCATCATATAGAGCTCTAAAAGTGTCTCAAGCAAACCTTTGGGAGAAGTGTTTCATTGGGGAAAAATGACAACGAAGTCGAAGGAAGCAGTCCTCGTCATTATAGCTCTTGCTTTTAAAAATAGATGCCTGGATTTATCCTTAACGGCGCCGGTCTTCCTTGGCGGGGAAAAGGGAGGCCACATGGAGATGGTGTTTTGTGTTGAAAAGTATCCAAACTTTTCTCTTTCTTTCCTGAGGTCTTCGAGATATGGGGAGGATAATCTTTCACCAACGGCACCTGCAACGAGTTGGTGTTGAATAGAAAAAAATAAGTATTAAGAAGACGAAATTTAGCCGAGATTTAGATCAAAACAAAAAAGCAACAACTAAGTTCAGAGAAAGCAGGTAAGTCTGAAAATGTCAATGTAAAGCAAGCCCCTCTGGCCATTTCCCAAGCCAAGGCAATTAACCAAACCCACTGTACACGTGTTTGTATGCAGAGAGAGGGGATTTCCTGCCAGTCCAGATAAATCCAAACCCATTTATCTATCTAGATCAGGCATGGACAAACTTGGACCCTCACTCCAGGTGTTTTAGACTTCAACACCCACCATTCCTAAGAGCTTCAGGCCCCTTCCTTTTCCCCTGCAGCAGCTTAAGCGGCTGAGGGGGAAAAGGAAAGGGACGGGGTCTGTTAGGAATTGTGGGAGTTAAAGTCCAAAACACTCGAAGGGCCCAAGTTGGCCCATGTTTGTGCTACGAGCATGTGGTCCATGTACTGAAAGATGTTGTCCATGTACTGAAGGAATTGTGAGAGTTGAACTTCAAAACACCTGGAGGGACCAAGTTGGCCCATGCCTATGCTTTGAGTATGTTGTCCACGTACTGAAGGAATTGCACGGGCATAGTGTTTTGGACCCATGCCTGTGCTATGAGCATGTCGTCCACGTACTGAAGGAATTGTGGGAATTGAACTCCAAAACACCTGGAGGGCCCAAGTTGGCCCATGCCTGTGCTATGAGCATGTCATCCACGTACTGAAGGATGTTGTCCATGTACTAAAGGAATTGTGGGAGTTGGAGTCCAAAACACCAAGAGGGCCCAAGCTGGCCCATGCCTGTGCTATAAGCATATTGTCCATGTACAGAAGAAATTGTGAGAGTTGAACTTCAAAACACCTGGAGGGCCCAAGTTGGCCCATGTTTGTGCTTTGAGTATGTTGTCCGTGTATTGAAGGATGTTGTCCACGTACTGAAGGAATTGTGAGAGTTGAACTCCAAAACACTTGGAGGGCCCAAGTTGACCCATGCCTGTGCAGAGAATGTAATCCACATACTGAAGGATGTTGTCCATGTACTAAAGGAATTGTGGAAGTTGGAGTCCAAAACACCAGGATGGCCCAATTTGGCCCATGCCTGTGCTGTGAGTATGTCATCCACGTACTGAAGGGATTGTGGGAGTTGAACTCCAAAACACCAGGAAGGCCCAAGTTGACCCATGCCTGTGGTATATATGAGCCTATCATCTATGTACTGAAGGATATTGTCCATGTACAGAAGGAATTGAGAGTTGAACTTCAAAACACCTGGAGGGCCCAAGTTGGCCCATGTTTATGCTATAAGTATGTTGTCCACGTACTGAAGGATATTGCCCACGTACCGAAGGAATTGTGGGAGTTGAACGCCAAAATACCTGGAGGGCCCAAGTTGGCCCATGCCTATGCTATAAACATATTGTCCATGTACTGAAGGAATTGTGAGAGTTGAACTCCAAAACACCAGGAAGGCCCAAGTTGGCCCATGCCTGTGCTATGAGCCTGTCATCTATGAACTGAAGGATATTGTCCATGTACTGAAGGAATTGTGAAGTTGAAATTTGCCCATGCCTGATGTAAAGCTTTTGCTGTCTCACTAATATTATCGTCAATATCCAGGGAGAATAAAAGAACAGACTAGCGTTTGGATGGATAAAAACGAGGGGGGGAAAGCCAATAAACAATGTGGCCAGGTGACCGCTTGGAGGCAGAGGATTTATTGGGAGAATGGAATTTAATAAAAAACAATTTGGAAGATTAATCGCATTTAAGGCCTTCCTAATACAGCCGGAGCAGTGACCTCTCCCGGCGTTGGCTGGCGTTTAATCCAACATCCCTTTCCAATAGAGCTGTTATAGTATTATTATTATTATTTTCTTAAAGGAGGGGAAGAAAGCCAACAAACCTGAATCACAAATCAAAATGACTTAAGGACAGAATGTACACAAGGTAAAGCCGGAGCTGGTTTGCCTTCCTTCTCTCATTATACAAAGGTGGGTCAAAAAGTAATGCCTCCATCACTCGAAGCTTTATTTCTTTCACAGATACCGGACTACCTATGCATGATATGAGAGAGGGAACCTTACTCTACTGATGGAGTCTTTCCTTGTTCAGATTGACTGATTAGAAACATGAATCTGAAGCTCAAAGAAAGAGTTGTCATTGAATTTCTGGCCAAAGAAGGTTAACATGCACCTAAGGAAATCCATCATCACTTGAAGAATGTTTATGGGGACGCCATAATGGACATCTGCAATGTGCGACCTCTGAAAGATAACCTACATCGGTTCAGATTCAATGACTTGAATGACGTTCAAACAGCTTTCAAATCATGGGCCACGAAGAAGCAAAACACTGAATTTTTCCCAAATGGTTTGGATGCCTGAATTAAACGATGGCGCAAACGTATCCAAAATGATAGTGACCATGTTGAACATGAGTTTTGTATAGAGAACCGTTTAGGCTAGGATCTGGAGCAACTTCTGCTGTTATACGTTCCTTCATAATTTTTTTATGATGCAGGAGGCAAAACTTTTTGACTGACCCTCATATATGTAAACTTTTTGACCGACCCTCATATATGCAAAAGCTGCCACAAAGCGAGCCCAAATCGGCCTACTTCCATTGAATTAATGCTGTGGTGGTCCAATGGGTTAAACCCTTGTGCTGGCTGAACTGCTGACCTGAAAGTCAGTGGTTCGAATCCGTGAGAGGGTGGAGCTCTAATCTGTCAGCTCCAGCTTCCCCTGCGGGGACATGAGAGAAGCTTCTGACAGGATGGTAACACATCCAATCAACGTCTCTGCAGATGGTCAACTCTCTCACACCAGAAGCAACTTGCAGTTTCTCAACTCACAGGGTGAGCTCCTGTCTGTCAGCTCCAGCTTCCCATGCAAGGACATGAGAGAAGCCTCCCACAGGATGGTAACACATCTAGGCAACGTCTCCGCAGATGGCCAATTCTCTCACACCAGAAGTGACTTGCAGTTTCAAGTCATAGGGTGAGCTCCTGTCTGTCAGCTCCAGCTTCTCATGCAGAGACATCCTCCCACAGGATGTCTCTGCATCCAGGCAACGTCCCCTGGGCAATGTCTCTGCAGGCAGCCAATTCTCTCACAACAGAAGCGACCTGAAGTTTCTCAACTCACAGGGTGAGCTCCCATCTGTCAGCTCCAGCTTCTCATGTGGAGACATCCTCCTACAGGATGGTAACACATCCGGGCAACGTCCCCTGAGCAATGTCTCTGCAGACAGACAATTCTCTCAAACCAGAAACGACTTGCAGTTTCTGAACTCACAGGATGAGCTCCCATCTGTCAGCTCTAGCTTCTCATGCAGGGACATCCTCCCACAGGATGGTAACACATCCGGGCAATGTCCTCTGTAGACGGCCAATTCTCTCACACCAGAAGCGACTTGTAGTTTCTCAAGTTGCTTCTGCCATACACACAAAATACCATTCAATAAGACACCTTGCATCTCCAGTTCCTCAAATAGCTATTTGGAAAGGAAAGAGGCAACTCCCTGGTCTCCCTTTCCTCCCTCTTTCAACCAGTTAGGAGGCAAAATCATTGTCTTTCCTTTGAACGGAGCCTTTCCTTCTTCGGAAGGAAAGCAAAGTCTGGCTGGTATTTCCAAAAGTCACGAGTAAATCAAGAAAAAGCAAAAAAGAATGCAAGGTCTCTCTGTTTCTCTCTCTCTCTCAAGTCTTGCTGAAATCAGATCCAACTCACTCACTTCCGAAAACGCATCAGACTCATCCCAAGCCAGCGCCCAGGATGTCAATATTAGAAATGACAAGAGTTTGTCATGCAAAAGCAAAAAAAAATTAAAAACCCACATTTGGTTTATGGCAACCATCTGACAGGTCTATTTCGGGAAAAGAGAGAAGAGGGGTGGGAGAAATATCACGTTGGAACGGAAAAGTTTTGCAATACCGAAGGATCTATACTTATCCCCGGCTACGGAGTTGGCATTGGGATGGAAAGGAAGAAGACAAACAGGTGAACAATGGGTTTGGTTAATTGCCTTGGCTTGGTAAATGGCCAGAGGGGTTTGTTTTACATTAACAACTTCAAACTTATACACTTAGCTGTGGGGTGGTGCAGGAGAATGTCCAGGCATGGGAAAACTTGGACCCTCCCTCCAGGTATTTTGGACGACAACTCCCACAATTCCTAACAGCTTCAGCCCCCTTCCTTTCCCCCCTCGGCCGCTTAAGCATTATATTTATCTATCTATCCGGATATGAAGGTAAGCCTCTCTTAGGTCTATCACTCTATCATCTATTTATTGGGACCCGGAGATCGGCCTCTTTTAGGTCTATCACTTTATCATCTAGCTTAGGGGGGAAAGGAAAGGGCCTGAGGTGCCAAAATGAATGGGAAAGGGTCGCTTCTGGTGTGAGAGAATTGGTCGTCTGCAAGGACGTTGCCCAGGGGAGGCTTCTCCGCTGACATCCTATTTCTCCAAAGAGAGTAAAAACCTCTGATCTTTGCCTTAAACTCGTCTGTGTCTTATCGGTCCCTTTACAAGGTATCAGGTAGTTGCCATGACAAGGTATCAGGATGGTTATTAATTTAACTGGAATTAGGCCAATTAAGAGCAGATAATGCCATTAATGGCCACTATTGAGGGTGGCTAGAGGAGCTATTGCATTACTTGGCCAACTTATTGTCAGGAGCAACTGGGAGGGCCCAAGTTGGCCCATGCCTGTGCTATGAGCCAGTCGTCTATGTACTGGGTGATATTGGTGTGAGAGAATTGGCAGTCTGCAAGGACATTGCCCAGGGGACGCCCAGATGTTTTACCATCCTTGTGGGAGGCCTCTCTCATGTCCCTGCATGGGAAGCTGGAGCTGACAGATGGGAGCTCACCCCGCCTCACGGATTCGAACCACCAACCTTTCGGTCAGCATTCCTGCCAGCACAAGGGTTTAACCCACTGCACCACCGAAGGCTCCATGGGAAAGGCTGCTCCCCATT